TTTTAAAATCTTTGAAACATATTGCCAAATTTGTTTTCCAATTGCCTCACCAGTGTATTAAATATCCTTTTGGCAGATATAACATCAGTCCAAACAGTCAATATGATAGTATGGACAATTAATTACTGCTGCTTTTAGATTTGGGTTTGGATGAGAAACCAACCAAGTTACAATCAGCAATATATTTCTACCCTATTCTAGACACACACACTGGTTAGTCTGCTGATGTATATACCCTGTGAGACTTATGGATTTTATGAGCCTCAAAGTAAGCTACCTACTTCTGACTACTGTATAGTCAGATTGTAGGCTAAGAGTATTTTCTGTAGGTCATAAAGAGGCTGAAGATTGTCATGGTGTGTTTTTGAGATACCTAGAAAGGAGATGACACATGGCATATGCTCAGTGAAGGTTTACTATATAAAGGAATGACTAAATGTATGAATGTGCACCCACAAAATGTTTCCTTCTGCCCAGCTATATTCAGATAGCCTCCATTTTACCCATAATTCCCTCACCATGGGCCTCACCATAGACCACTTAGCCAATGCTTGAAACCATGGAAAATCCAGATTTGCCATGGAACTCCATCATGGCTGACTGCAGCCTGTTTAGGTATTTGAAAATGCTTATTCAAGGAATGATGAGAACATCAAGCCTTGGGAGTACAAGCCCTTTGCTAGCTATTATGACCACTTTGGCAAATCTTAGAATTCTCTGGGTTTCAATTTTTTTCATATAGAAAATAATAATAATAAAAAACAATAATATCCTTTCTTGAGTGCATTGAAGCTCAAATAGATACAAAAGCACTTTGAAAAGTTAGTACCTTCCTGAAAATATAAGGTATAATTAATATTATTTTTACCAACTCCACAGTGACCTACAGTGGGAAAGGCTAGAGATTGGAGTGTTAGATGTTTGTAGATTAAAGAGAAAAGGCAATGTAAGTCCTAGGCATTTTTTGTCCTTCAGGTGGCAGGCCTAAAGATAACACCAATGTTTTTCCTAGAAGAACAAAAGTCTTCCCACTTGCTGGGATTTCCAGATTCCTCAGAAGTTACTAGAAGCAGCAGATCTCAGAGTAATTTGCTGACTTAAAAGAAATATATTGTTGACAACTGGGATTATATATTTCCTTTATCCTAGACTTTTTTCCTAATACTGCTTTTATTGGGTTTTAATTGACATGATCTTGTAAAATGCTTTGAACCCTGATTAAAAAGCAACATAAATAAAGGTGAGAGGGAAATGATAGCAGTGTGATAAACCTAAATAATAAATAAATGAAAATTCAGTGATAATTATATCACTGAATTAGACACTAACATTCATGAGAGATACAGACTGGGACCTTTGGATTCCCCAAATTCGTGAATTCTGAAATTTTAGTACAGGCATTCTTGCTGAGAGTCATAAATGTCTTGGGCACGACTTCACATCAAATTAACTATAATATTATTCCAAACTTTGAAATTCAGATATTTCTCAAGTAATAATTTTGGCAGTGGCCGATACACTTTTCTAAACAGTCTCATGAATATAATTTTTTGGTTTCCATGTAGAGTTTATGATGGTCTTATGTGTTATTTACTTACGTCACTGCCAAATAGATACTATACTCATTTATTTTCCCAAAACTCTTAGTTACTCTCCAGGAGTAACTATTTATTTTTTATTTTGTTATACCTTTATAAGGTATAATTGATATACAAAAAACTATAAATATTTAATGTATAAAATTTGATGCATTTGGACACAGGCATACACTCATGATAGCATCAGCACAATCAAGGTGGTAACCATATTCATCACCACCAAGAGTTTCCTTATGTCCCTTTGCTTTGTGTGTCTGTGTGTTGTGTGTCTGTGTGTGTGTGTGTGTGTGTGGTAAGAACACTTTACATGAGACCTAGCCTCTTAACAAATATTTAAGAGCACAACACCACAGCAGATCTCTAGAACTTATTCACCTTGTATAGCTATAACTTTGTACCCATTGAACCACAACTCCCCTTCTCCCATCTCCTGGCAACTACCATTCTATTTCCTTGCTTCTGTAAGTCTTACTATTTTAGAAACTTCATATAAGTGAAGAAGAGTCCATTGTTTCTATATTTTTTTCTTTTTCTTTCTTGCTTGCTTACGTCCTTTTCTTTCATTTCTTTTTCTCTCTCTTTCTTTCTTTCAACCACTACAAACCTGAAAGCTATGCAAGTGTCTGCATATACTCAAGAAATATTTGCTGAATACTTTCTCTCATGTCTTCACTTCCATACCAGTACCAAGAGTTGGGGGTGGGGCGGGGCAGGGTGGGTAATTTTGCCAAAAGAAATGAAGTGGGTTTGTTTGACTTGTTTTACTCATTTCATGAGAGTTACTATATATTATTCTCACCTCTGATGTTTCCTTCTATGAGGAAAATCACAGAATAACACACTTTTGGCCTCTCCCTTTTACTGTAGGGAAGTGGTTCTCAGTCAATGGTGATTTTTGCCTCGGTGATGTCTGGAGACATTAATCATCCCTGGGGGACGAAAGGGGTGCTGTTAGGTGGGTAGAGGCCAGGGGTGCTCCTAAACAACTTGCAATGCACAGGACAGTCCCCCACAACAAAGAATAATCTGACCTCACCTGTCAATAGTGCCAAGTATAAGAAACCCTGATCTAGGGAGAATTAGAGTAATAGTAAGCTTAGGAGTAGTTAAGGATTCTTAAACCAATCTCTAGTCCTTTCCGTTTCTGCCTACAGAGAACATATTTGCATCTGTTTGTACTATTTTATGGAGTAAGTTTAGTGGGACAGGCTCTACCACCCATAGAAAAGACCTTCGAGGCTTTAAAGTTTAATTCCGGAGAGTGGTAGCAAGCTCATACATCTGCACTCCCTATATCTTATTAATTTAAAAAAATGACATTTTAATCCCCCTTCACGTAAGTCCTGAATCTCTTTCTCCCAATTCATTCTAAACGTTGGCAGGAAAGGTTACTATTTTGGGGGGTTCTCTCAAGCTCCAAAATTATAACAAAGACAGCATGAGGTTTGCATGCCTCTTGGCCAGCTGAGGTTACTGACTACCTAAGATCTTCCTTCTTCACACCAGCTCTGCTAGTTGGAATGGTGATGGTTTCAGCAGTGAATGCAAAAAGTCTGACAGTTGAAAAGATTAAGGTCTAATAGAGGCAGGAAAATTGAAGAACTCATTTATTAAAAATGGGAGATTGATCATGAATAAAAACAAAATACATATACATGGTACTCATTTGGGGTATGCCTACTGGCATACCTGTCCCCAACTTGGACACTGAAGTGGACATGTGTTATTTCTGTATGTCCAGAATCCACCTTTTTACAACTGAACCCACACTTTCCTCATGGAACCACCTTTGTTACAATCTTAGTCCACGTGGGCCAACTCCATTCCTGGCCAGGGGCAGGCATGAGGCAGAGACATGGCCTGTGACAGCCTTGACTCCCCTGGGCCTCAGCGCATAAATCAGAAGTGAGCACAAACCCAGATCAGAGCCAAACCGACGCCAGGACGTCGCTGGAGCTAACTGGAGACAAATAACTTTGATTGCTGCTCAACGTGGGGCTATGAGTATGTTAGCCTTGAGCTGCCATAAACAGAACGTATGAAATAGAAACACAACATATGCAATTTTTAAAGAGCCAAGAGATGGAAAAAAAGAACCCAGGTCCTAATGGTATAATCACTGAGATCCAATCGTTACTAAATGTTGGATTTATCAGTTACATGAGCCAATAAATTCCACCACCACCCACCTTTAAAAAAACAAAACAAAACAACTTTACAACAGAGAAGTCTTGGGTAACAAAGACATGAACACTGGACTTACCGTCTCAATCTGAGCCTAAATAAAATAATTCCTCCCAATTCTAGATACTTACAAAGGACCTATTGTCTTCCCAAAGTATAGTCTCTTGATTCTCCTTTTGATTTCCTTTGTTTAAATGCTTCGGTTGCATTTGAAAACATTTGCTACTGGTCACTGGATGCTCTGATAGCCACGAGTAAGTCGATGTCACGTACAGGGTGATGAGTAAAACATCGTATAAAGATGTGATCTTGGCACTTTACCTGACCAAACCCTTGGAAAGACTCACCAAATGCTATTCTACAACAAGGACTAAAATAACCCGAAAAACCCCCACTAGTTTTAATAAGCTATACCGCTAATTAGCATTTTACTGCTTTTCACATATTATGCTAGGTGCCCTCTATATGATCTCATTTAATCCTCCCACTAAGCCTGCAATGCAGCCTTTGCTTTCCCCACGTTACAGAGGAGGGATTGGAAACAGAGAGAAGTTGGACAGTGTGTCAGAGGTTATGAAGTTAGCAGGAAGTGGCCATCCTGAGAATTAGATCAGACTCCACACCCTGTGGCCTAAATCATTGCTCTCTCCTACTTCTCAAGAGTGCTCACCACTGAGGGCCCTTGCAGCCAGGTTTCACAGCAGGCCGGGAAGGGACTCCTCGGTAGGCACCCTTACTCATCTTCCCTGGGCTGTTCATTCATAAAGCGATTCTGTTACGGCATCTACAGGGAACAATTTTAAACCAAAAGATGTACAGGTGAAAAATACGGCAGGTGATACCCTTGCGAAAGACACCTACCGCCTCGATGGCTCTTGTAATTGTCAGGCTAATTTTTTCAATCACTTATCTCTCTGAGTCTCCGTTTCCTCCACTGCAAATAGAAGCGGCTGCAGTAGAGTGTCATGATAATTAATGGTGACCATTGATTGAGAGCCCACTGGGTTCTGGGAATTCTACTGTTTCCTTGCCTCCGTCAGCTCTTAAGCAATCCCTCTTTTTAGATCTACACCTTCGGTGATTATAGTCTCTCTGTGAATTAAAATGTTTTTGAAAGGGACATGATAATACAAAAATGCAATGGGTTGAAAGAGTTTGATTAAAAATTCTGAATAATACAGCCTCCTGAAAGTTAATTTTTACTTTTATTCTTCACAGGGCAGCATTGTTTGGCCTTGGCAAGCATACACACTGCAGCTATTATCCTTGTGCTGGGGCAGCAACCAATGAATTTGGTGTGACTAAGAAATAAAATGCTTAGAGCTGAGCTCCCGGTGGCCTGCTTAACCTTTTGGCTGCGTCTTATTGCCCTGCTGACACCCAAATGGACACGTGAGAAGCCAGAGCATTTTGTGAATATGCAGGAGTTTCTTCCAAGGGCCATGAAAGGCCTCTAGGACTCAAAGGAAATTAGGTTCCTCAGCAGTAAACTGCCCTTTAGGGGAAAGGAAGAGAAATTCCAGAGGAGAGAAAGAAAAAAAGAAACAATACATTTCAACTACTCCTCCAAATTATGATCAAAACAACCAAGACAGTAAATGCCAATTGCACGTTTTAGATATTTGCCTGCATCAGAGTCATCTTCAAACTGGTTTCCTCTGTATGTATTTATTTTTCTTTAAATATCCTGGGATGTGCACGTTATTATCTCCTGTGGACATCTCTAGTAAACAGGGAGCTTAGGCGTGTTTGCATTGTTCTGGCTTGTTGCAGTTGTTGACCTGATTGGATCATGCGCTGCTTTGATCACTTAAAAATGAAAGCAGTTTTTACTGCAAATTGCTCTGGAATGACTTGAAAACCAAACAAACCAAAAGGACATGTTCTATTTATTCTTTATTACTTACACACTTAAAAGAACACACAGACCTTCCTTCCCTGACTTCCCAAAACATGGATGTGTTTAGAACACACTTCTTAACCCACCTTCCCTTTTAACATTCTAGGCAAAACCCTCTGGAGGGTGCTTCTGAAAAAAGGGCTGCAACTTGGCAATTTCAATTTGGAAAAGCACACTTTAGGTGATTTCACCAGACCCTCACCAACGCCCTGTTTTGCAGGCTTGGGGGTTTCTTTCTGAACTCCAACATTAACTGGTTGTACAACCTTGGGCACAATAGCTAAACCTGAGTTTCATTTTCCTCATCTATAAAATGAAAATAATAGCTGAAAGTATTATTGAAAGGTTTAAATGCTTAAAGCACATGTAGGTGTTCAAGAAAAAATGGATACTATTTTTATTTGTGGTGTTGCTTTTTTTCCAATTTACAAATGAGGTAATTGGATCCCAGAGAAGTAAAATGACTTTAGTACTCATGGCTTAGAAGTAATAGGATTTAGAAACAAACTCCATTCTTTTGCCTTAACATTCACTTCTTCCTATTTTCATCAGATAAGAGAAACATGTAAGTAAGTAAAAACTCTGTGCTGCTGGTACACACATCACTTTAGGAGGAGTCCCTTGTTACCCTCTGTTAGATTGTCAACACAAAGCTCCTCATATAAAGACATTCTAAAGCTGCCATTTTCTCTGTTTTTTTTTTTTTTTCTACAAAAAATGCCACCTAATTAAAAGATACTATTAGGAGAATGAATTGTCAGGCAATGGTTTTAAACCTACTATTAGGATAATGATGTATCTGTTGCTGTAGTTGCCTTTTCTTGTCTTTTTGATCAACACCACTGATAGCCTTATCTTCTTGGGGCTACAGTCATAAGGTTATTAAAAGGGACCAAATACCCTAACAGCCTTGTACCTTTGATTTTCTGCCATACTCTCCAAGTTAATGAGTAAGAGAGTCAGGGGAATTTATTCCTGTGCTTTAGGAAATCTACAAACAATATTAAAAAAGAAGTTGGTGGCAGATTAAGAAACTTTTAATAACCTTGTGCAAACCTTCCAGACACTCATTACTCAGCTTCAGTTAGCACGTATAGGTGATTGAAATATGCAATTTCAAAATATGCTGTGGGAGTTAGAAGAGTGCCAGCAACTGACAGAGAAGTAGTTTGGGCAAGAAAAAAGAGGTTTCAAGGCCACAGGGTTCAGGGAAAAAGTCAGCTCCTTTATTTTTGCTACATTTTTAACTAAAATAACCACATAAGAAGGAATCTTAAAAGCCTTGGAGGATCTTACATGCTTACCATTTTTTTTTTTGAGACAAAGTCTCGCTTTGTTGCCCAGGCTAGAGTGAGTGCTGTGGCGTCAGCCTAGCTCACAGCAACCTCAAACTCCTGGACTCAAGCAATCCTCCTGCCTCAGCCTCCTGAGTACCTGGTACTACAGGCATGTGCCACCATGCCCAGCTAATTTTTTCTGTATATACTAGTTGGCCAATTAATTTCTTTCTATTTATAGTAGAGACGGGGGTCTCACTCTTGCGCAGGCTGGTTTTGAACTCCTGACCTCAAGCAATCCGCCCACCTCAGCCTCCCAGAGTGCTAGGATTACAGGCGTCAGCCACCGCCCCCGGCCCATGCTTACCATTTTGAAACCCGCTGATTAAAGACCAGTGATTGATTGATCTGACATATGTGTTTTGATTAAAGGAGAACATTGTATATTCTCCCCCTTCTCTTTTTCTTAAGACACTATTTTTCCAGACAAGCAAGTAGCTTTCTAGCTGCCTTGTCAGTTCCAGTCTAAGACATGGAGACTCCAAGATACTTTCCTATTCATCTTTGAACAGGTGTTTATCTTCCTGATGCGTTGTTTCTTACTTCAAACTGTGAATTTGCACATAGATTGAGATTATAGGCTGGATTTCAACTCTAGCCTTAGCTCTTTCTAGTTCTGGGAACTCATGCCAGCCACATAATGGTTTAACACAGAATGCATTAAGTATTGTCTCCACATTTGACAGATAAAAATCTGAGGCTTAGAGAAATTAAGTGACTAACCTGAAGTCACATGGCCATTGAGTGGAGTTTTAAACATTTGACTCAGCTCAGTCTAGTGCCAAGTGCTCAATACTGGGCTGTATCTTGGCATTAGTTTCCTCCCTGTAAAAATAATAATAATAAATAATAATAATAGTCTCAGCTCTTCCTTCTCATAGAATTTTTTGTAAGAATCACATGAACTGATATTTGTAAAAATGTTTTATAAACTCAATATAGCAATAAATGAGTGTGAATGTTTCAAAGAGAATAAAAGAAGGACAATTGCAGGGAAGAAGCCACATGGCCAAGAGCATGGAGAGAAGTGAGAGTATGCTATGGTTTGGATGTGGTTTGTCCCTGCCAAGGCTCATGTTGAAATTTCATCTCCAGTGTGGCAGTGTTGGGACGTGGACTTAGGGGGAGGTGTCTGGGTCACAGGGCACATCCGCCATGAATAGACGAATGCCCTTCTGCTGGGGTGAGTTAAGTTCTCACTCTCACAGGAACGGATTGATTCCCAAGAGAGCGTGTTGTTTAAAAGAGTCCGAATTTCTCTCTCTTCCTTCTTCCCTTAACATGTGATCTCTTTGCACACACCCACACCCCTTCCACTTTCTGCTATGAGTGGAAACAGCATGAGGCCTTCACCAGAAGCTGAGTAGATGCTGGCACCATGCCCCTTGAACTTCCCAGCCTCCAGAACCCTGAGCTAAACAATCCTTTTTTCCTTACAAATTGCCCAGTGCCATGTGTTCTTTGATAGCAACAGAAGAAGGGCTAAGACAGAGCGTCATACCTACAATGTAGTAGAGATCACACTAACTAGAACAGAGATTTGTGTGGTAGGGTTGAAGTTGGCAAACTTTTTCTGTAAAGGGCCAGAAGGTAAATATTTTAGGCTTTGTGGCCTATGTGTTCTGTCTCAAATACTCCACTCTGCATGAAAGCGGCCACAGAGAATATGTAAATAAATGAGCAAGGCTGAATTCCAATTAAACTTTATTTATGGACACTGACATTTGAATTTCCTATCATCTTCATGCATCATAAAACATTAAGTTTCTTTTGATTTTTATTTTAGTCCCTTAAAATGTGAGAACCATTTTTATCTCAAAGGCCTTCCATAAACAGGCAGTGGGCCAGATTTGGCCCACATGGCACAGATCCCTGCTAGTGAGCAGTGAAAAATGATAAAGTTGTGGACTCATTTGGATAATGTTTGATGGGCAATGCAATGTCACTAAAGTTCATGAGCAAGAAGAGTGAGTATAAGGCTACATACGTTTGGAGTGCTTTGAGCTGCAAGAAACCAAGAAACTTGATTAATATCTGTTTGGACTATAAGGACATTTACAGCGTTAATAACAAGAATCTGAATGTAAAGCTTCCACGATCTATTCAGGAGTTTAATAATGTCGTCAGGGATCCAGACTCCTTCCATCCTCTTGGTCCTCCATTCTCAGCATGTTGGCTTTCCACATTCATGCTCGATGCTGCACTTTCTGAAGATTGCTGCCATAGCCCCAAGCAGCATGTCCTCACAATAGCATCCCCAGACAAAAGAAAAAGAAATGGAAGATTGTTCAGCAACAAACTCACCCCCGCTCACCCCTCCCTCTGCCCAGTATCAGTCTCTTTTGTCAGAAAACAAATGCTTTCCCAGAAACCCCATGGCAGACTATCACTTTGCTAAAATTTGGCCAGGTGACCACATCTTTGCATTGCAAAGGAAAATGAAACTGTCATGATTGGCTTAGATCAATCATCATTTATCACGTTGGGCTAGGCAAAACTAGTATTCCATTAGCAAGGAGGGAGTCAAGCAATGTCTATTGGGTAGGCCGTTGACAGGATCTGCCTCAATGGAAGAAGTAATGTTTTAGGGGAAATAGAGCTAGAAGTGAAGTTGAGGTAGGATGACATTTTTGGATTCCCACAAGAGTTTCCATCTTACCATTTACCATGTAATATAGAAAATATTAATACTTTCATTTTCTAAATGGCCCAAAAGATTGCTGAAGGCCAAGCCTATATCTTATTCATTTTGGTGCTCTCTGTCCGAATACATTTTCAATTCTTTAGACATTGAGAATACTTGACAATTTGAAATGTTAGGGCTTGTAGACAGAGCTAAGTAAAACTTTTTGTTTTGTTTTGTTTTTGTTGTTGTTATTTGTTGTTTTTGGGAGGGGGGTTGTTTTTGTTTTTGCTTTTTTGAGCATCTGAATTGTAGAGGTAGTAGAAGAAATGGAGTAAGAACAAGGGAATGTTTATGGATTGAAACACATGCTACCTTACCTTTATTTTCCCTGTGGAAAGGATAGAAGCCCTCCTGAGAACAATGCCTACTCCTCTCCCATGCCTCCTGGTATTGTTGCATCCAGTCTTTTTACATCACAGTGAGTTAGCCAAAAAAAAAAAGTTATCAGTGACTCAGTGAAAAGGGGTAAGGAAAATCTGAATACATTAAAAAGAAATTTCAGTAAAAATAAGAAGGTGGATGCATAATACAGGCACTTTATCAGAAACAATTGGAAGATACATTGCCAACTACAGAAAATTAGGTATTTCATCTTCTGTTCCTTTGTTTTATGAGAGATATGTAAGAATGTGTTATAGTGTCTTCTAACTTTTTAACTGGTGACCATGTACTCCAAACAGATGGCAACACCCCAGTGAGTAAGTAAAGCTATGTCACTAGCAAAATAAAGAGAAATTGATGTCCAATTTTTTTGAGATCATGTATTGTGAATTCAATGTTGTCATCATATAAAATGTACAACAAAGTTATTCTGTTATATCATTAATAATACAGTTATGATTTGTCACGCCGCATGGTAAAAAGACAAAGTAAATAGTTCATATACAGGGCTACAATTATAATTAATATTATGTAGGAAAGTCAAGATTTCATAATTTGTCTTTTTTTTATGAGTTTATCATTATCTGTACCCATGTCATTGTATATTATATCCCCTAACATTTTGTATAGTTTTATTTTCTCATCACATGTAAGGACACAGGTACACACACATTCATACATGAGTCACATGCTCATTTACAACTTTCTGAGGTCTGCTTCCTTCCTAGCTGGAGTTTCCTAAGTGCTTCATCCTCTTAGCCTCAGGGCTACTAAGGCCCCTTGTTCCATTCTTCCCTCGTGTTCTTGTTTAGTCCTTCCCCCCCCACTCCTTCCCATCTCCCATTACCTAGACAGGAATGGCAAAGGAGTTTCATCTAGAGCCCCATCTCTGAATGAACCACACTGGTTGCTGAGGGAGATGTGTTTAGAAAAATGATGAGCAATGCCTACTTTGGGCCAAGGGTGTAAAGAGAGCTGGGTGTGTCTGTGCTTCCTCACCTCAGCAGTTCTTCAAAGGTATTGCTTAATCCTCCCCATACCTAAGGAGAGTCAGCCCTCAGTCATAGCCACTAAAGAATTTCAGACAGCCAGAAGTAAGGGCATGAAACCATGTGGCCCAGGTCAGCAAGAACATCCTTTCAGTCTGGAGAGAGAGGAAGAGAATGGACAAAGAATGGCCTGCAAGCACACATGGGCAGAAAGAACAGCCACCGAAAGAAAGGAGTTGAGAAAGAAAGAAGCAGATGAAAAGAAAGAGCAAGAGAACTGTTTTTCAGGCATAACCTCTTATGCCTGCAAAATCCACTTTCTATGCCCACTATCTTTACGGGAACAGGTCTTAAGCAAACTAGGGAAAAAAAATATCTAGTGACTGCACTGTTCTGTCAATGTGCACAAGAACAGTCCTACACATACCCAAGCACGCACACACAGAAGCATGGATGTGCATATGCACTCGCTGAAACATGAGTACAGACACACACTGTCTTATCTTTTTCCACCATTCAAGTTGCTCCAGCTTGAATCTTCATAGCTCTTAAGAGCATCATCCTTCTCTTGGGTTCTCCTGTCACCAACAAGGAATTGGTTGTGCAGCCCGGAGTCAAAAGCTTTGGCTGTTTTCTTATCTGTGCACTGTACTGGCCCAGAGGCTTATTTTCATTTTAGGTGTGTGTATTGCCCGGAAAGCAGAGTGGGTGGCAGATTGCAAACAGAAGCCTTAGGCGGTTGTAATTGAGGGCTGGTGCACCCACTGTGGCACACGGTTTGGAGGAAATATTGCTGCTGATGAGGTGGGGAGAGGTTAGAAATTTTCTAGTGGAAATAGAAATATAGACAATGGTCAGTGACTCCAAACAGCAAGCGTTAAAGCATCTGGGGAATCTATTTGCAAGATTATATTTGAGTTAAAGTTCTGCTCTTGAAATAAATCCTATATATTCCTAATATTGACTGTGTTGCCTTCACCTAGCAATTGACCTGAGGTCATTTTAAAGGCCTCCTTATTCCTGCTCAGCTTCCCACCCCCACCATCCACTCCCCACCTCGTGTCCCTTGATGCCTGGGATTCTTACAACAGAAGCTAAAAACTTTATTCCCTAATTCGGTTCACGTCAATGGACCACCTGTGATGTCCTAGGTCTAGGTGTTCGGGGAGATGAATTGTGCTTGTCTCAAGCAGTTTACAATCTAGAAAATTAGAGAAAAAAAGAACTAATAAATTAGGGGGGGGAGTAACATCCAGGATTCAATGGACAGTAAGGTGCTTATTTCTCTTAAACCATTAGAAACCTTTTCTTCAGGCACACCTCAAAATTGTCCACAGAAGAACCTCAGTTCCAAGGAGAATGAGCACCTCTAGTTGGCACTCTGGGGACAAAGCCCCAAATGGTCCATCACAATCACAAATTTTTTTGGGAAGTGTCATGCCTTATACTGATGGTCTTCAATCAATTGTGTTTGACCCACCACCAGCAGGGGACATTTGGCAATGTCTGGAGATATTTTAGTTATCATAATCGGGAGTGGGCATCTAGTGGGTAGAGGCCAGAGATGCTGCTAAATACCCTACAATGCACAGGACATTCCTCCACAACAGAGAATTATCCAGCTCAAAATGTCAAGTGCTGAGGTTGAGAAGCCCTGCTTTACCTTAATATTTATGAAAATTTTGTATGCCACTGAATTTTCAATATAATATTAGTTTAGATGGTTTTTTTTTCCTTTGAGTAAAATTGACACTACGAGAAAATGGGCCATGCCTGTCTGGTGCCCTGTCCTGGGGTCTGGTCCATAGCTACACAGCATGCTTTGAAAAGGATGGTCCGTCGATTCCACTTGTCCCATAGCTCAGTTCCCAGCTCCTCTGGAAGACATTCCAGAGACTCACAGCTCAGTGGCGGCAGATTTAGCAAATAAAAATGCAGATGCCTGGCTAAAATCTGAATTTCAGAGAATCAGTAAATAATTTTTAGTACAAGTATATCCCATGCAAAATTTGGGACAATTGAAGTTTAGAATTTAAATTTGAATTTGAGATTTAAATTCCAGATAAACAATGAATAACTTTTTAAAATATAAGCATATCTCATGCAATATTTGGGATGTAGTTGTATAAAAAATTATTCATTTTTTAAATCTGAAATTTAACATTAACTGGGAATTTTATCTGGCAATCTTACTCCAGTTTTAAGTGTCTGCTATTTCCTCTCTATACCTATGATATTATAGCTACATTCCTCCTTCTATACTCATGTTTAATGACTGCATATGATTAATTATCTATTAGCAAACATGTTTTAATCCTCCAAGTAAAATCTAAGTTTCACGAGAGTAAGATCAGGACCCATGTTTTTGTTCTTTCTGCCTAAAAAAATGCCCTGGACATCCACAAAATATTTGTGGATGATGCATCATGTCATTTTAATGCTATACTGGGAAATTAGAAACTTTATCAGGCATCATTCATTATGTGATAGGTGCTTATAAAACTAGGATTTTAGCAGTAGGTATAAACTATATCGGTTAGGAAAGCTTGGCTGTGAATACCAGAAACCAAAAAAAAAGAATCTTTAAAAAAAGACAGAAATTCGCTCCTTTCTTGTATAAAAGCAGACTGGAGATCAACACGGCAGAAAATGTGGAATTTTCATGGCCATAGACCCCTGCCTTTCCCAATTTTTCGTTCTAGTACCCCTAAGATGTAGCCTTCATCCTCATGTTCCAAATGGCTGCTAGAAATCCAGCCCTCATATCCATAGCCCATAAACAAAAAGGGCAAAAGAGAAGAAGAAAGGATCCCTCTCTGCCTTAAAAACTATTTCCTCCACTTGCATCTCATTGACTAGAACATAGATACATGACCACACACAGCTGCAAGGGCGGCTGCCAAATATGGTCTTTATTCAGGAAAGAAATGTGCTCAGCTAAATGGGAGGTCAATGTGAGAGTAAAGTGGAGAATGGCTATTTGATGAGAAAGGAGCTGTCTGGATGCAGAGCTCTTCAGACCTCAGTCACTAACTCCATTACCATTTTTGGCTTACATTTTTCATTCAGAAAAATAACTGGGAAACAGACACAGGAAAAATTCCCAAGCCCCATTGCAAGCATTCAAATCCTTGCTGTTTTCAAATGCCACCTCCTTTACTCAGCCTTCTCAGGTTCTTCCTTTTGCTTATCTGCCCCTTATGAAATATCCAAGCCCTCGATGTGCCTTTCTTGGATATGCACCATTTTCTCCTTGCATCGTAGTTATTAGTGGGAGTTCATATTTCACCCACTAGATTGTAGACATCTTGGGGACAGAGTCAGTTTTGAAATCATTTCTGTGCCCTCTTGATGTCTCACATGCACTAGGGGCTCAGTATTTGTTTCATGGGTGAATGACTGTCTCAGACCTAAGGGACAGAAGTGACAAGAAGTGACAGCCTGGCACGCGCACAGAGGCTCACGAGGGAGATGTCCACGTTATCTTTAATGGTTGCAAAGATAATATATTGTGGAGATTATTTCATTTTGTTAAGCGGATTTGGTAAAGGGGAAAAATGAGTTTGTTTGGGGACTACAGGGAGCTTTTTAATATAACTGATGTGAGAGTCTCAAGATTTGGGATAAAATCCTACCCCAACCTGCTCATGAAAGCCAGGCGTCTGCAAAACTCACTGTTACTGAATGACATGGTGCAGAAAGGCTGTTAGGAAAGGCTAATGCCTATACAGCTGGTGTAATGAAGAAATGGGAGGGTTAGGCAGGGGAAACCGCAGCTCCAACAGAAGGAGCTGAAAAGATATAGATAAGATTAGCGACATATGTAAAGGCCCTGATACTGTGTGACAAAGTCTACCCAGCTGAATAGGCTGAAGCCAGAAGTAATAGGAAGGCCATGTTCTCCCTAATCCTCCAAGATAAGCTGTTCCATCCAGAATTATCAGCCAACAATCTTCAGGGTATCAGGCTGAAAATGAAGTTTCAGACTGCTTTGATTCCTCATCCATAAATGAGAAAGTGCCTGAAGGATCTTT